CCCTCCTGCTTCAGCCTCCTGAGTTGTTGAAATTACGGGCTTGTGTCACCACATATGGCTAGAGTTTCTTAATAACAAAAGTGATGGCAGAGTTAAATGGTCCTGAAACTTAAGAATACTGAAAAATTTTATCTTTTGTACATTTTTAAGTTGATGTGTAAACTGTTTTGTCCTATCTTAAACATTTGCAAATGATATATGATTTCTGCTATATAAATATTGATATAATAAAAAAGTTAGGTTATTTCAAATATGTGTAGCCCAAATGCCATGGAGATATAATATTCGCCATCATCCATTGATAAATAAACAAGCAAGACTGTTCTCTAATAGTCTAACATTACACAATTTCCTGGAAATTGAATTTCTAGTCCACTTTCTTTAAACAATTTTCTTTTAATATAATGCTGTTTTCAACTTTTTTTAATATTTATTTTTCAGTTTTCGGTGGACACAACATCTTTATTTTATTTTATGTGGTGCTGAGGATTGAACCCAGCGCCCCGTGCATGTCAGGCGAGTGCGTTACCGCTTGAGCCACATCTCCAGCCCTGTTTTCAACTTAAAGTCTTTTATTCATCACTTAATTGCTATAGATATGTATGTATGTACATATTTGTGCATATGTGTGTATATACATATAACAATTATCCTAATATTTTAACTGATTTACATAATCTGAGCTGGGTATGGTGGTGCACACCTGTGATCCCAGTTACTTAGGAGACTGAAGCAGGAGACTTATAAGTTCGAGGCTAGCATGGGCAAGTTAATCAGACTCTTCTCTTAAGAGAGAGAGAGAGAATTATGAACCTATTGCACTTAAGGATTTAATAATCTTTTTACACAAAAACTATAAATTTTATGGAACATTTTATCTTCTGTTTATTATTAAGGAAACATCTCTATCATATGAAAGGTAGGGAGTTGTTTATGGCACAGCTCTCTCTTCTTTAACCCTGCCCAAAAAGGTGGCAGTTATTTTTTTTTTGTTTGTTTGGCATCATGGCTACCTTCAGATCTCTTGTAAAGCTCAAGTTCCTCAAAAAGAAGACCAAGAAGTTTATCTGGTATGGGTCAGACTGATACATCAAAATTAAGTATAACTGACAGAAACCCAGAGGTGTTACAGCAGGGTGTAGAGAAGACTCAAGGGACAGGTCTTGGTTCTGTGAGCGACAAAGAAAGCATATGCTGTCCAGTGGCTTCTGAAAGCCCCTGCTCCACAACAACAAGGTGCTTCAAGTGCTGCATATGTGTAACAGATCTTGTTGTCTGAGATTTTTTTCCAGTGTTTGCTTCTGGAAATAGCAGCCCAGCTGGTTATCAGAGCCACTAATCCTGGTGCCAGGTTGCACAGTGAAGGAAACGAATAGATAGTTTATGTGCATATTTTATTTTGATTAAATCAAACAAAAAAAAATCTTTGAATAAAATTAAAATGACCTCATAGCCAACAGTATTTTTGAAATGTCTGTTTTGTGATTTCTGTGCTTCAGAGTAATTTGCCTTGTTTGGATGAATAAAAGCCAGTCATTTGTGTGCGTGTGAGTGTGAGTGAAAAGGAAAGCATGAGTGGAGCAAAATGAATATTTGTGAAAGAGGTTTTTAGTTATTTGATAAAAGTTAGCTTTAATGGATATAGTCCACTAGAATGTATGCTTTGTGAAGATACAGGTTTATTTTTTAATCTTTTATTTTTAGGTGGACACAGTATCTTTTATTTTATTTTTATGTGATGCTGAGAATCGAACCCAGTGCCTCACGCATGCTAGGCAAGCACGCTACCACTTGAGCCACATCCCCAGCCCTATTTTTTAATCTTTTACCTGTTCATGACCGTATCGTAGGCCAAGAACAGTGACTGGCATATAGCAGGCATCAATTAATATTTAAGGAATGAATAATTGAACAAATGAATTTATAAAAGCACAATTACTGTATTTAGTGAATCAGGAAATCACACATACCTTATTTTTCTAGGGTTTGTGTGAGTGGATTTCCACGACAACATGAAAAACACTGGAAAGAACTCTGTGGTCGAATAGTATTGGATCCTGAATTTATGGTGCAACTTCTCACAGGGGTTTATTATGCCATGTAAGTAGGTGGTAGATGAAATTTATGAATTCTTTCTTATTAGATGTAACAAAGGGTCTTTTGTCCCAGGATGAGCACACTATCTTGTTTTTCTAATGTAGTTTCCTTTCATTATTTTTAAAGTAGCAAATATATAATTAGTTGTTAAAATTAGAGTCATCCTAAAAATTTTCAGGTTTTCTGTATGGAAAATTATCTCTAAAAAGTTCATAACTCAAGTTTTCATGAATGCATTAAGTATATGATTGAATATTAGCCCCATGTGATAAAAATCAACTTATTTGAAGAAGCATCTATAAACTACTTTAAACATAGTATTTGAAATCTCCTTTGTTATTATAACCAAAATTAAAACATTGTAGAAATGAAATAATATAACAATCGATGTGAAGCCAGGTGTGATGACGCATGCCTATGGTCCCAGCAGCTTTGGAAGATATGTAAATTTGAAGCCAGCCTGGGCAATTTGGTGAGACTATCCCAGGTAAATTAATTAAAAAGATTGGCTGTATAGCTCCTTGGTATCGTGCCCCTGGGTTTGATCCCCATTACCAGGAAGGAAAATTTTGATGTGAAAATCTTATTTACAACCCAAATAGTAGGACTTAGAATTTTTTTTTTAAATTATGTGAGGATTGGAGATATTTGCTAAAGATAGTATATGATATGTTTATCTACAGGTATAATGGACAGTGGGACCTTGGCCAGGAAGTTCTCGATGACATCATTTATAGAGCTCAACTAGAACTTTTTTCTCAACCACTATTGGTAAGTTATATTTACTTTTTTTTTCCCCCCTCCTTCTTAGCCCTAGAAATTGAACCCAGGGGCACTCTATACTGAGCTACCTCCCCAGCATTCTACTCCATTTTTTCCCCCCTTTTAAGACATCCTTTCACTAAGTTGTCCAGGTTGGCATTGAACTTGTTATCCTCCTGCCTCACTTTCCCAAGTGGCTGGAATTACAGGTATCTGACTGACTTACTCTTTATATAACATATCTGTATGTAAAGAAGGTACTACTAAGTTTAAAAAATTAGAAAGAATAAAAGTAAAATTCAGGGCTGGGGATGTGGCTCAAGTGGTAGCGCACTTGACTGGCATGCGTGCGGCCCGGGTTCGATCCTCAGCACCACATACCAACAAGGATGTTGTGTCTGCCGAGAACTAAAAAATAAATATTAAAAACTCTCTCTCTCTCTCTCTCTCCTCTCTCACTCTCTTAAAAAAAAAAGTTAAAATTCAGTAAATTAAAGAATTAAATGTCTTGAAATCCTTTAAGAGAGAAGAAATGTTAAATATAAGTTATTGAAATCTCTAGAATAAAGGGTGTGACAGAAGTGAGATGATGAATTGCTAAAATGAGTTTGATGCCCCCTCACAAATACCTAAATTCTAAACAATTAGTGTTTTAAATGCAAAGAGAATATGCAGTGAACAAAGAAAAAAAATATTCTCATTAGGCATGACAAGAAAAAGCCAGTTATTTTATTCTGCATATGAAAGTTTATGCTTTACAAAATAAATGTCAAAAATGTAAATGATAAATATAAAGACAAATGTAAATATCCACTGAGGAAGACATTCTTTGTGCTGTGGTGGTAGTATGACACAACTTTGATCATCTCATTGTGGAAGCAGTCTGGTAAATGTGTGTATGTGTTCTTTCATTCTGTGTTCCATGTGTGGTAGTGTATCCCAGAAAACTAAATACCAAAAACGTGTATTATAAGCACAGCATTACAATGTTATTTTAAATGGCAAAGGAATAAAACTAGTCGAACAAGCCAGGCTCACTGGCATGCCTCTGTAATCCTAGTGGCTCTGGAGGCTGAGGCAGGAGGATTACAAAGTCCAAGTCCAGCCTCAGTAACTTAGTGAGTACCAAGCAATTTAGTGAGACCCTGTCTCAAAATTTTTTAAAAAAGTAAAATAAAATGGGCGGGGGATGTGGCTCAGTGGTAAATCCCAAAAGAAAAAAAAAAGTTGCAATCAGTACCAAAAGAAAAAATAGTTCCAAGCAGCAAATGATTTATTATGATATTTACTTGATAAAATTATAGCTTGACAACTTATATGAAACAAAAATCCTGGGGGTAGGGATAGGGATGTAGCTCAGTAGTAGAAACTTGGCCTGGCATGCATGAGACCCTGGGTTCCATTTGAAAGGAAGGGAATGAAGAGAGAAAGAGAAAAGAAAAATGCTAGTTTGTGTTAAGTGGAAAATTAGTGTGCAGCTTTTTAAAAATCTAGACATAGGAATCAAAATAATAATAGTTGACTAGATGATCTGACTATGGATCACTTTAATTTCTTTCCAGTTTGCAGTACTTTTTGTGGGGTAGAAGGTGGGGGAGTACCTGGGATTAAACCTAGGGGCATTTGACCACTGAACCACATCCCCAGCCCTATTTTGTATTTTGTTTAGAGATAGGGTCTCATTGACTTGCCTAGCGCCTCACTTTTGCTGAGGCTGGCTTTGAACTTGCAGTTCTCCTGTCTCAGCCTCCTGAGCTGCTGGAATTATAGGTGTGTGCCACTGCGCCCGGCTGCAGTACTTTTTTTAAAAAAGTTTATCTTTTTTGGGGGGATGGGGGGTAGGCACTCTACCACTGAGCTATATCTCCAGCTCTTCTTTATTTTTATTTTAAGACAGGGTCTCACTAAGTTGATGAAGCTAACCTTGAACTTGTCACCCTCCTTCCTCATTCTCCTGAATCACTAGAATTAGAGCCACGTCACCATGCCTGGCTATGTCTTTGTTTTAAATATTTTAAGCTGAATATAAATTTATTAAGGTACCATTTGCAATAGTTTTTTGATATTAAATTCCTATTTTTCTCATTTTAATATCCCCTATTTTACACTAAGGGTTACATTAAAACAGGTAATAGGACAAAAAATTTCATCATCATCATCATAACTTGAATTTTTAAGGCTCTTTAAATTCATGGTTTATCCTTGTAACTACCTTGAAAATTTTAAAAAAATTTAATAAAGTGACATTTCCAAGGCAGTACAGGTTAATCGATTATTCTTTGTTGGCAACTCTGAAGGACCCAATAAATGATAACCCTTTCCTTATTCAAGTTGCAAGTTACATGAACAAATAGTTGGCATATGGAGAAACAAGCATCATCTATATTACTGATAAAGACTAAATTCAGATACTTAACTCCTTACTCATCTACCTAGTAGTCCACTGGAGAGAAGGCCTGAGTGGGCAGGTCAGGCACATCTATCCAGGTTGATACATTCCATATGTGCTTGGCCAAGTAGAGAGGGAGGGAGAAAGATAATCCTTTAGGTCAAGATCTTTGCTAGGTTAGTAACCTATTTAAGAAATATTAACTAGTCAACTCTCAATTACTCACCAGCCAGATTTCTCACTTCTCCAAGCTAGCAGAAAGTAGTGTGGCACAATGCCAGAAGTATTTAGGGAAGACTTCTCTTTATGGAAATAGAGAAATGGAAAAAAGCCTAATTAACAAATGAACAAGAAACAAAACCACTTAATTTTTGCCTATTATTTATCATGTGAAGACTAGAAGCTTATTCTAATTTTTCTTACATCAGGGTGCAAAATGGTAAATACTCCTTGAAAGTCAACAATTCCAAGAATCAGTGGGGTATGACTCACTTTTTCTATTTTTTCTTATTTTTGTGGTACTGGGATCAAATCTAGGACCTAGTACATGCTAGGCAAGTTCTCTATCCCTGAGTTACACCCCCAACCCAGTGACTCACATTTTTAAAAATAAATTCTCCTTTGAAAAACTTGTTTTTAAATAATACAGAATGTTAGAGATACAAATATTTCTGAAACATTTGTACTTTTGTTATATTAGGATAGGTTTTAAATACATATTCAAAAAGTTACAGAAGCATGAAGTACAGAATAAGCAAAAGCTGCATGTTGGTTGTAAATTTGTACACCTTATGTTATCATTTTAGGTTGCCAATGCCATGAAAAACTCATTACCATTTGATGCTCCTGATTCTTCACAAGAGGGCCAGAAAGTACTTAAAGTGGAAGTCACCCCAACAGTGCCGAGGATTTCTCGGACTGCAATTACAACAGCTTCAATCCGTCGGCATAGATGGAGAAGAGAAGGTAAGTACAAAATCCCCATAGTATGCTCATGGAGTCAAGTAAATTTTTCACTGTTTGTATAGACTATATTAACTCATGGTATTATAGCATTTTATATAATTAAAGTAAAAGTTTTTTAGTTTTTAAGATAGCTCTTAGAAATGTGATTAAATGCTTACTGTTATATTTAATATAAATATATGTGTACATGAGGTAGAAAGATGTTATACTGCTGTATAAATATTAAAACAAAAATAAGATCAGAAGAATTTTTGTCTGTTTTTGAACTAGTAGTAACAACAGGAAAAAAGTTTAAGCCTTCTAAGTTACTGAGGAAAAAAATAAAAGGTGCATGTATGAGCACTGTGGGAGATAACTATGACAAACCAAACTAACAGTGTAATACAAGCTATCCATAAAATAATTGACTGTGGTTTTAGATTTATATCTTTGCATTTCCTTTTTTATATGTGCTGAACCCAGCAGTATTTCGTAAGACATACAGTTCTTGAATAGTCAAGCTGTCTTGCCTAAGAGATATTAATTGCCATTTAATCCCTATTTTTCTGTCCTGTTCATTTGCAAACCTCACATTGTTCATCTGCTGCCTTATGTGCGTGCAAGCTATGCACACACATGTAATTATATAAATAGTGTTTGTGTTAATATCATATCCATATAAACATTCTCTTATCTGCCTGGGTCAGAATGCTCAGAAAAGAATAGAGCAGCACAAAAGCACTAAAATTTTATATGTTGAATCCCAGATGGCTTTGACTTCTCAAACGAGGCTGACTCGAGTATTCCTGGCTCCCCGATCCAACACGGCTCCACTGACCTAGGGATCAAACGTGTGCAAGAGGGGGAGGTGCTGGTGCGCAGGACCCCTGAGCATGGCTCGCCGGAGCCCAACTCGGCAGCAGCCACAACAGAGGGTAGGACAGAGATGAGGAGGCAGAAGTCAGTGAGGCAGTTGCTGGAGAAGGATCCTGGCTCTCTATCCCCAAGCAGAACATCTTTCCATTCTAGTGTGTGTTTCCACTACCCCAGGGTGTATTAGCTTCTCCTTGCAAAGCACCTCTCTTCCCTATATGCCTAGCACCAGGTTAGGTACAATCTTTAGTTACTGTTTGTGCTGGCCTGGAGTGTGCATCCCTGTGTAATCAAAGAACAGCTTGGCATGGCTACTAACAAGGCAGGGGCCTGTATCCAAAAGATTTGCAAATGCTTGGAATTTTTTCATTACTGAGCATGTTTATTCTAACAATAGGAAAGAAAAAATGCACCCAATGGACATGAGCCTTAATAATCAATATAAATGTATTTATATAATAACTTATTCTTTAAAGATCTGTGAAGAGTTTCAAAACATGAGTATACTTGGGAAATTGAAATGGGGCTGATCAATTTATCTGTATTTCTAGGATGTTAAATTAACATCTAATAAGAATTTCTCACCTTTTTGACAGAGTATGCTATATTGATTGAATTTTTATAGTCCTTATGATAAGTTGCCTAGGTCTAGAGAATTACTGACACTTTCCTCCATATATGTGCTGTCCTGGTGCACACTACATTTTATAATTCATTGTAAATCATGGTTCTATTATGTAGCTCCCAAATGGAATTGAAATGTATTATTTAGAGATCAGATATCCTAGTAGTTTCTTGTTTCTACAATGTAGGTATCTTGAGAATTTTTTACCTACCATCTTCCACCACTCTCTCTGTAAAAGAACATTTCTGTCCTCCAGGAAAGTATTTACTTGCTGCCTTGCATGGAATGCCATGAGTTAGCTTTGTGAAAGAGGGAACTGTAGGTAAATAGCTTTTTCATTACCCAATGTGTTGCCACTGTGAAATCTTTATACTGATTTGCATAATAAAACATGTAGTTTTAAAAGAGGTACATATTTTTGCTTAAAGCAAAACATACATAAAGCAATTAACTTCCACCTTAAGGAAGTCTTTCTCTTTTTGGTGCATTAGAAATTTGAGCATGCTCAGTAAGAATTTAAACCTATACTCTGTGCCCTTGCCCATGTGCCCAGGACAGTCAACCTTCATTTTACAGTATTGCATGTGCATGATCTAGGAACCCAGAGAAGTTAGTACCGTTTCAGATTCTTCTTTATATGGCTATGGAAGATGCAGCCTTCCCTTTTTATACTTTCCCTAACAATTTTTAGTGAGAGTATGGAACCCAGAGTTGGCCTAAATTGAACAACATCTTATTCCTTTATATTCTTGATGATTAAATGAGCTACTAAAGAAGTATCTTCTGCCATTGTTAGGACTATTGAAAGTATGTGTTAAATGTAGCACGGTTAATTAGTATTGATAAAATTATAGGAAATGTTAGATTAGTCTGAAATATTGCTTCCAATTCATCAGAAATCATACATTTTGAAAAAGGAATCAAAACAGTTAATTTCTCTTTAATATCCTATTGAATCTTATTAAATATTTAAATGCCTTATTTTCATATTTCTAATTACTGGTAAAATGTTAGCTTTAGTGAGGGATTGGTGATATAAAACCATAAGGAAAGGGGAATAAATTTGTTTCTTTTTACTGGGGATTGAACCCAGGGGCACTTTACACTGAGCTACATCCCCAGCCTTTTTTATTTATTTTGAGACAGGATGTCATAATGTTGCTTAGATTCTTGCTAAGTTGCTGAGACTAGATCCTCCTGCCTCAGCCTCCTGGGTTGATGGGATTACAGCTGTGAGCCACCACATAGAGCAGGGAATAAGTTGAGTATGTTTGAAATTTCTAGACAATTATCTTACCCTTTAGTCTAGCTTAATTATAGTTTTAAATCAATATTAGTAGAATAAGAAAGGCAATTTTTTTTTTTTTTTTACAGATTGTTCTTTGGATCATGAGTAGTATTATAATTACCTAGAGAGAACTAAAAGAAAAATGTTTTGAGAATTGCCTGTTTTCTTTCTTAAGGTTTTTTAAACAGCAGGAAGGAAATTACTAAAACCTATGAGAAGTTTTGGTAATTCTGTAGTATGCCAGAGCTTTTGAATTAATGTAAATAATTGATCTTTTAAATATGTTTTAAAGTATGATGGTTTTAAATAGTTTTATAGTTAAAACTGTGATTGTTGAAATTCAGGGAGAATATGAACCTATCATCTACCTATTAAACTGAAGATGATTCCTATAATTAAAGTATAGTCATTGTTCCATTATAATGAACCATTTCCTAGTACATAAAATACCAGTAGGTTCTCTTGCATGGTGGTCTTCATGTTACCATCATCTCTTTTATGGCCATATTGCTTTGGCTTAAGATCTGCATGTAGCAAGATTCAAAGCTAGCACTAAATCTCTCAGTCTCCTTCCTAATTAATAGATAAATCTGTTCATTCCTTGTTTTATATTACCAATACTACTTTTGAATTAGTAACTATTTCTTCTTGGGCATTTTAGAGTTCTTTATACTAATTTTAAGTAAATTACTAAAACGATATGTAAATTAAAGTTTCAATTTTCATGGGACATTATATACAGTTCTCTTGAAGAGGTTGAGAGACATGGTGTCAGCTGCTACTTTTCTTAGTAAATGCATTTTCACATAGCTTTGCATGATTAAACATTAAATTGCTGGATATATATATGTATATATATATAACAAGGTGCCTTTTGCTTTAAGGATAGCTTATTTCATTCTTTAGAAGGAAGGAAATAACAAATTCATGAGAAAATATAGCCAAGAATGTATTTTTATTTTCCAGGTGCTATGTTAAGTAAAAGATTGTGTTTTTAATATTTTATATATCTTTAACTTGTATCTCAAAGCAATATTTGTGTAGATTATTTACTAACATTTTACTCTAACTATAATGTTGGTATCTATTTTGTAGATTTGATTAAATTTATTTGCAGTCTGGGAAAAATATGTTTTTGAAAGAAGAAAAAGTATGGTCATATAGTCTCTTAGAAAGTAAATACAATCAATAGAGAATTGGGCTTTCTGGAATAGCATGATCAATGTATTATATATACTTCTCTTCCCACAAAAACTCAAGATACAGATTTTTATGTTAACTACAGTTTATGTGTGAAATGTAATGGGGCATTATAATATTTTGTGATTATAAAAGTAAATAAGTGAAATAAAGATGTTGTGTCTAACTACAAATAAAAGATTAAAATGCTTTATAAAAAAGTAATACATCTCAATGCTAGAATCTAAAATATTAACATATATAATATAGGAAATGAAAATCATTCTTAAGTATCCCTGCTAGTTTTTTACCACTGTTCCCTGATAATGTTTTCTTCATATTAATTGTTCAAGAAAGTATGGAAACCAGTGAGTAGTCCTGTCCATAAGACAAAATATGGTTGTGAAATTATTGGAAGCAATGTAGTTTCTTAGATTTGAGTTAGAAAATCTATTAGTTCAATATTAAAAGCCTTTAAGCCATAGAGAAGCAGTTAACTTGATAAATATAAAATCTTATTATAGTTTTGGCCTATAGGCATAAATCAGGTTTTGGTATAATTCTAGGTAACTGAAATTGGAAGAGTTCCTTTTGTACATTTTATGGTGGGTTAAAGAAGATATGAGGAAAAGGTTTCAATTGTTTTACAATAGGTAAATATGTTCATGTCAAATGAAAAACAGTATATTATAAAGAGTTATAAATATAAATGTATTTATATATTTAATGTATTGTGCCTGGTTTTATATGCCCAAATATTAATAGTATATTAAGTAATTTTGTGAATAGTTTTATAAAAACTGAAGTAATTAAAACTAAATGAACACAATAAATACTATATTAGAATTCTGTATAGATTAAGATTTATTCTCCTAAATTACTTAGAAGTGTTAATAGTAAGATCATTATGAACTCATAGCAAATGTTAATCAAGAAAAAGGTCAGTGTTGTTATTCACAACTGCTACTTAACTTAATTTAGCTATTACTAAATCTTTCTGATTTATTTTTTAGGTGCTGAGGGTGTAAATGGAGGAGAGGAGTCTGTAAACCTGAATGATGCAGATGAAGGATTTTCATCAGGGGCTTCCCTCAGCAGCCAACCAATTGGGACCAAAACATCCTCTTCTCAGAGGGGAAGCTTACGGAAAGTAGCAACTGGGCGTTCAGCCAAAGATAAAGAAACAGCTTCTGCCATCAAATCCAGTGAGATCCCTCGAGATTCAGTAGTTCGCAAGCAGTATATTCAACAACCAACTGATCTTGGTGTAGATTCCATTGAACTGACACCAATGAAGAAACACCTGAGCCTGCCTGCTGGCCAGGTGGTGCCAAAAACCAATAGTTTAAGTCTAATCAGGACAGCCAGTGCTTCCTCAAGTAAATCATTTGACTATGTAAATGGCAGTCAAGCAAGTACCAGCATTGGGGTTGGCATTGAGGGAGTTACTAATCTAGCAGCTAATAATGCTAATCGATATTCAACTATCAGTCTACAGGAAGACCGGCTAGGTCAAACTGGTGAAGGTAAAGAGCTCCTCAGCCCAGGAGCCCCCTTAACCAAGCAGTCTCGATCCCCAAGTTTCAATATGCAGCTAATATCCCAGGTGTAGTTTTGACATCCTCTCTTCGATTACCTTTTAAATGGAACATTTCATTGTATAAGAAGACACTCATCCCACATTGTGAAAATATTGGTCATTGTAATCAGATTTGATTTAGTTTAGGTATCTTCATACTGTATTTTGTATGAAAACAGCAATAAGGTTTTCTTTTCCCTCCTTCCTATATCTTCTCTTCACCTGTACCTTGTAAATGTGTTTGTGAAGCAGTATAACACGTTTGCCTTTTCCATGCCTTCCTTTTTCCTTGGGTGATGTGCAATCCATCATAGGCTGATTGGTCCCATTTCAACACTGTGAGATTGAGGATACACTAGAGGAAGTGGTGTATATGATCCTTATGATTCTTTGGCTTTTGTTCAAAAACAAGACAAAACGGGTTTGTTCACATAATCTATAGAACTATGAAGATTACCGGATCATATTTTTTTCTCTCTTAACCAGGAGTGCCTCAGAGGTTCTGCTATGACTTGGGACTTCTCTGAGTCTGTGCAATCATTTTCTTGAGAAGCATGGGGAAAGGTGGTGGACTGCTGCACTTTTTCATTAAAATGAGGGTAGCTCTTTTTTTCCCCCATTTTTTTTTATCCCAAGGACTTAGTTGTTCAGTTACTGAGGCATTTAAATCAATTTGTAGCCACCTCCTTTGGGAGGGTGCGGCTCTAAGTTGATTGTGTAATTGATAATGCACTTTCTCAATGGCTCTCTAGTCATTATTAACATGTCTTCCCTCTTCCCACAAGGACTTAAGATCATTTCTGTCCTTAAATTTTGAACAGCTAACAAATCAGAGAATTCAAGGAGCATGTTCTATTTCCCAGGAATGATTGACACTTTGGTGCTGGGGTTTTGTTGGGGGAGGGGTGGTTTTTGTTTAGCTTGTTGGAATTGTGTCTGAGGGGGGTTTTGATTGGTGTTTTCTTTTCTTTGTGAGCTGATGATGACTGAAGTAGAACTGTACGTCTTCAGGTAAAGAGAGGGATTTCTGTGATGTTAGACTCTTGGAGAAACCCTTTCAGCTGCTTTCTAGATGTACCTAAATTCAGTCAGACATTTTGGATTAATAAACCTAAAGTCCTGATAGATCATATACTCCAAGGAAATACATCAGGGACAGATAGTTGGCTGAAAACACTGACGCTTCAATGTGACACATTTTTATAGAACATTTCTACCAGGGGGTACTGACTTGATTTCTCCTATAAGGACTACACTGCCTTTGTGTTTAGTATAATGCAGTTTGTGTATCTTCTAATCTGCAAAGTTTCTCATTTTTATAAAACTTTGAAATCATGCCAGTAAGCTAGATGTTGAATGTATATAAGTAGCATTTGGTAACTGCTATAAGGCTACAGAAGTACATTATTGATTTTAAAACATTTTTTTAAATTCTGATTTGATTGATAAGATTTATTATAACCTCTTCTGGGTCTCGAGATCTAATGTTTGAAAAAGAAGGGAATATACTTGGTTTTTGAAAATCAGTATTGTGACTTGAACTGCTATAAATTATCCTTCCACAAAATACAGTTAATAGTGCTTTGTACATTTACTTTATTATTGTGAAAGAAAAATGAGTTTATAGAAAGCAAGTATTCTCCTTATTAATGGTTTTAAATTTTATCTCTACCAATTGAAATTACAAATAATTTTGTGATAACTAAGAAAATGCCTTTTTTTCCCCACACCTAAAATCCCCCTGTTGTTTTCAGTTGTAAGAGCATAAAAAAAAAAACAGGGACTTTATGTTAGCATGTTCATAAGGATTTTAATTTGGTGGTCTGTAACATTTTTCAACTCATATGAAAATGAAAAACTAGAATCTGAACTAGTATCCAGAATATTGCCAAAGTCCAGGTAAAAGTTGATGGTTTATTTATATGTGTATGTTATGTAAATATATCACAAAGATATATTTTAAATATTTAAGAGATGCCAGGTAAGTGAAAAGAAAATTTTAAACAGCCAAAATAAATGAGGCATACAACTTTATAGCATACTAAAGAAAGCAAAGTTTCAGGTATGTAAGGAAAGGAATATTGTACTCACCAGGGAATGAGATCTTGGCTATGGCCAGAGTTTCCTCATTTTATGGCAAAAATACCTGGTTTATATAGGCTGTTTTTAATTCAACAAGTTGTGCACATATTGGCATCTAAATCAAGCATTTGAATTAAAAGCACAAAAGAAATACCAAATAAATGAAATTACAGTAAAAGCTATAATAAAAATTCTCTTTAAGAATTCCATTAAGATCATATTACTAGAAAGCAAACTAAATGTGTAGCGAAAAGTTTAATTTAACTTAGGAGAGACTTTTAAATATGAAAATATTTTAAGAAATCATTTGTTATATCTGCAAAATTAATTTGAAATTTTTTCATCTTGCTACGATCTGCAGTAGCCTGTAATCACAGAACTAGGGAGATTAAGGCAAGAGAATGGCAAGTTGAAGGCCAGAATTAGAAGCTTAGACCTTAGACCCTGTCTCAGAAAATTAAAAGGACTTAGTGGTAGAGTGCCGCTGGGTTCAATCCCCATTATCGCAAGAAAAAAATTTCATCTTAGAGGATTTTGTTTATCTGCACGTGTATACGTGTGTGTGTGTGTGTGTGTGTGTGTGTGTGTGTGTGTGTGTTGCTGGGGATTGAATCCAGGGCCTTGTGCATGTAAGGCAAGCACTCTATCATCTGAGCTATATCCCCAGCCCCAACATATAGATTTTGAATGTACACATACCCATTAATGTTTCAGGACCCTGTAACAATTGTTTTCTTGTAGGTGATATTTGGCCCCAATGAAGAAACATTTCATTTAGTTTAGACTTTCCATTCAGGGTCTTAATAGATTTCCTGTGTAAGATATAGTTACAATGAAAAAAATTTAACTTGTAACTATCAAATTTTCAGGCTTTTAAATTCCTTTTGCATTATTTATTAGTATTTAATATACTTTTATTTCAGGTATACAAATACACGCCAGCAATATTCATACTTTGTCCTTTAACAGTCTTTTATTTTATATTTTTTATACCTCCTTAAAAAAGTTTACCCATCTATGAAAAAGACACTTAGAGAGAAAATACTTGTTTTCTATAATAAAACTATTTGGTGCCATCTGTGCTGGGTTGAATTAAGAAATACTAGAAGAGTCTGGGAATTCTTTCGTATGACATTAATTTTAAGATCATATTACTAGAAAGCAAACTAAATGTATACGAAAAGTTAAATTTAACTTAGGAGAGACTTTTAAATATGAAAATATTTTAAGAAGCTAAGGAGGAAATAGTTGTAATTTAATATTCTGATCCCCTACCACCCTTATTTACCAAATCCACTCTTCTGTGCCTATTTATTATAGTATCAGAATTTTTGTGCTAGAAGAGACCCTAGAGATAATTAGTCTCCCCACATACATTCATCCTCAGGAAACGAGACTCAAAGAGGTTGTGACACTACAAGGTTGTATAACTAAGAAGCAGAGCCAGAATCAACCCTCATCTCCCATCAAATGCTTATTAACACCCCACTGCCACTCTTTATCCATACTATGGTAAATATGGTACGTAAATACTTTCCATCTCTGCAGCTTCTTTACATTTCTGGTCTAGTAGTTGGTAAATACAACACATTAAGAAAAGTATTAAATCCAGAAAAAAATGTAGAGTGATAAATGTAGATGCGGAAGTATTAAAAAATAGGTATCTTTTACAAATATAAGGATAGGTACATTATTCTTTAATTTACGCCTTACTCATTTTCTGCCACATAATGATGATATGCTGCCATGTTGTTTATATATTTGTGGGGATTTATTTAAATGCAAAGTAAGCTCAGTGAAATGGTTTTGTTCAGTGTTGTAGCTATTTTAAAATAATTTTTGAATCAGCCAGGTTTCAGCAAATAAGGTGGCCAGTTCATTGTATTTCATAATGGAGTATTGTAAAAGCTTAAATAAATCTGATTTCATTGATTTCTAAGGTAAAGAGAGATTGGACCTTAATGTGCTTATAGAAGATGAAAGCAATATTTCCTTATATGACTGAAAAAAATGTTATGGTGTGAAGCTTATGATTCCAGGATGGAATAGTAAACATCTCATTTTAAGTGTATATATCACATAAAATGTCTTAAATGCAGTAGTCAGATACATAAGCTCAATATTTCCAACCTGTAGTCTCGAATTCCACTTAGTAGCTTTAAATTAATTATTTTCTAGACACTGGAATACTGAGAATAATTTCAGATTGTTTTGTTTGCACTATTTTTGTGAATATTTTAATGAAGTGGGGTGTTTTTTCCTACCTCGCTCTGTGAGGTTTGTATGGGTCCACTTTTGTGTACTTTAGTTATTGACAATCATTTGTGTCATTTAGTTTTCTGCATGTTCATTTGTAAATAAAAATATTAGTATCTGTCTTTATGGGTAGCATATTGTAAAAACACTGGCAAGGAGGATCTATCCATTTCTGATCATGGATTATATTACAAAGTAAGTTTGGTTTTCTGGGAAAAAAAATCAGTATTTCAGTTACTTGTCTGTTTTTCAGTTTAAAAAGTTCAATAGGTCATGCCAGTGATCAGAAAATCTATATGAATTTTAGGGTACTTTTCTTAAACAGTCTGAACATGAGACTTTTTAGCTTTCAAGTTGAATGATTACTGTCATTGTTTCACCACCAAGTTGGTTGAGACACTTATTTGTACTACTTTAATTTTTTAAAAGTGCTTTTTAGAAATAAGTTGTTTGAAAACCAACTAAATACTGTTAGTTTAGACTCTTTAAAATTAGAATATTTGTCAGATTATAAGGAGATAGAATGCAGTATAAAACTCATAGTGCTAATAAAATCATAATGAATCTCCAGATTGGTACAATTTTCCATGCTAAGGTGGTCAGAACTGACAACATAATACAAATTTTAGTATTACTTGCATTGTGTGTATCTAATGGGTATATCAAACTGGCACTGAACATTTATAGGAAAATACTGTTCATTACAGGAGATACTTTCTAACCTCCCTGCCCATATAAGCACATTTTTTCCTAACCCTGACCATACAACAAAATTTTGGTCATTTTTTCAGTATTTTTGTAATCTTAGGCATCAGTCCCATGAGAAACATACACAAGGGCAAACAATTCAGAATAGAAATTAGCAGAAAGCTAGGAATGATATGAAATAACTGGCAGCATAGTACAGAAATATGTAGGTTGTTTTGCTTCTAGATTTTGAGAAAATGTGTTCATGATGTTTACAAATTAAGGCATACTTATATGTCTGCTATTATGCTATTATATTTAATATAGATTTTACCAAAAAGTAGAATTAGGTACAGGTTAAGTATAAATGAGTCCTTTTTAAAAACTGTATTTGCAGGTAGGTTTAATAAAGAGATCCTTTTATTTTCAAAGAGAAATTAATTTAATTGGACAATCCATCCATCCCCAGCTACTGAACTGATATCAATCTGGTTTGTTGTATTTGAGTGTGAAGAGCTCAGTGTTAATTATCAGAGAAAATTTTTTACACCTTCATTATGGATTTACCAAAGAAAATGTTATTGACCAAATGTAATTTTTAAAACACCTCTTAAGGAATAAAGCCCATCTGACCTATACATAGGATTGCATACCCTGGGGAAAATATTATAAGATTATTTGACCTGGAAAACAAGTATACAATAGTTATAAGATTCCAATTGAGGTTTTCTTATACCAGTAAGATTTCAATATTCTGGCAAAGTACTATTTTAAGGCAAACTCCAAATATTATTCTTTATGGCACATTTTCACATTTCCTTAAATAAAACGAAGGATTCGGCTTATCAGTATTGAACAAAAGGGGACATTATTAAAATTGGTACATTGTGTGATAGTATAGTTTTTAAAATGTGGAGGAAATTGTGGAAATGCACTTCTTTCTTTGTTCAGTGGTAGTTATTTCTAATAAGTAGGATATTGGTTAAACTGGTATGGCTTGTTTACAAAATTTACATACATGATCAGTTTTTTTCTTTGTATAAAAACACTGGTTTAAGAAAAGCTAAAATACTAATTTTTTAAATGTATAGATAAAAAAACTAAAGGTTTAAGTTGTTAAATGATTTTTGAAATCATGAAATATAATTGTAAATTATAGGTTCTATATGTATTATCTTTTCATATATCAAAGTAAGGAATGTATTGATCAGCTATCTTGGAAAGAAAAAATTGGCTTTCTTATAATGATTGGTGTTTTTTTAAGTTTTATCTGAAATCACTCAATAATCTCATAATCTGAATTGACAGATTATGTTTCATGTGGTGTTTGAAAATATTTGTAATTAGTTCATCTACTACTTTACATTGAATCTTTATTATTACACTAATAATTACACTGGCTTTATATTCATTTTAACTGGCTAAATGAAACAGTTTTTATGGTGCAGATTATTTTCCCACTGTTTTTCTCAAGATAATTTGGCTTTTCTGACCTGCAGTTTCTGAAAGATTTTTACTAGTATGGCTTTATATAATCTGATCTCTGTAGCAATGGACAAGTAAAAAGAAATATCCACAAAATGTTTGTTTCATAAAAGGATATGGGATGTTATAGATCAGCTCCTGTTTTGTTGTTTTACCCAGCCTCAACCGATAGCTTGGAATAAATTTCCCAAGTATTCAGAGAATGAGTGCTGGTGAAAGTTTAAATAGATTAGGCATGTAAAAATTAATTTCTGTTAAGTGATGCCCTTTCAATCCAGGACTAGTAAAACAAATCATTTTTCTTTCAGAACTAAAGGAAAAAAACTGCACATTTAAGATCATATTTACTGGTGCATGTAAGCCATTATCCTGTCTTACTGAACTGATTAATGCTGTTGATTGTTGAAATGTGAAATGTAGTCACTGTTGACCTTGTAAATATCTGCCAGAGATGAAAAATATTTTAAGTTATTGTAAATAAAGATGTATAAAATTCACTATCAGTCTGCAATGCAGAAACATAATCTAAGATGTTAAATATTGTGTTTCTTGAGAGATGTGTAATTTGCCCCTAGGTGTATCTACTTACATTAAGAATGTAAATTTTCTTTTGTACAGGATAAAAATATAGCTTTATTTGGCTTTTAATTGGATTTCCTGGGGTTGATTTTCTTACCTAAATAGTCCTTTCATTTACAAAAGTTCTTCTATTATATTTTCTCAAAGCATGAAATTTTATTCATGTAAATCTGAACCTTTATATTATACCCTACTAAATAAAGTAAGGTAATATATAAAACTTATTAAAATATGACACAATAAGAAACAACTTACAAAGGCAGGAATTAAAAGTAATACATAAAATACGTGCGGTATGTTTCTGTATGTTATTTATAGGGATACAAGTTTAGCATTGTACTAATTTAAAGCAACCAAATGTAAAGAAGTAAAATTAATTACATGATTCTTCCTTAAGATTAAACAAATCAGCTTTTCAGTGGAAGCACAACTATATCTAGTACTGAAGATATTTATTAGAAAATTTTCTTACATGGGTCCTTATAAAGAAGAGCCAACATTATTAACAGTACCCTTTTACATAGACTCTGGTGTGTAAGTTATTTAGTCCTCTTCTGCATCATGAATTTAATCAAGGGTTGAGGCCCATGCACACTTTTCCTTTCCCTTTCTTTATATGGACTTTCTAGAAAAATCTCTCAGCCTTTTTTTCCTGATGACTCTTATTCCTTGCTATGGACCAAAGCTTCACAAAAACACATTGGTATTATTATTATTATCAATACAAAAGCTAGCACTTCCAAAAGAAAAAACTTGAGGCCTGAAAGTGAATTTGACTGGATCTGCATTTGTTAGAATGAGATTCACCAGTTGGCAGTTTCAATGTGTCCTTTTTATTAGAAATGTTGTTATACTTGCTCATTCAAAATTCTAGAATAATCACAAAAAATATGATGGTAAACATCATTTTCCTTTAAGGTACTGTAGTACAATCATGACATTAATAAGACAGTGGAGGCACTATTCCTCCACACACATCCAGCTCTCATCCAGGTAGATCAACATATTTTAAGGTCCAAAGATTTTTCATATTAAACACCAAATTACTGAGTGCCAGGAACCATTTTAAACAATTTAAGGAAAATACAGTATTAATACAATAGTGTCAGATAAGTACTATTCATTTCCTCAAAGTAAATCAGAATTTTAAGAAATCTACTGACACAACTGTTTTTAAATAGTGGCTTTTATACACACTAGAGCTGTATTGAGAATTATTTTCTAAAGCTAGTTACCTCTTTTTTTTTTTTAAAGAGAGAGAATTCTTCTATATTTATTTTTCAGTTTTCCGCGGATACAACATCTTTCGTTTGTATGCATGCCAGGCGAGCACACTACCACTTGAGCCACATCCCCAGCCCAGCTAGTTACCTCTTAATTACCTATTTTTAAGGCTCACTATGCCTAATCTTTCACTATTTACTTGATGAAGTCATCTTTCATGTGCTGTATGGAGGCTCAATGTTTCACTATTTCTGGTATAGGACATACTTAGAGAGAAAGTAGGTTCTGGAGGCCACATTCTTCTATTCCTAGATACAAGTAATGACCTACTGAGCCCTTATCAAGTGTGTACTAAATGGTAGGTCATTTCATATATGACTAATTGCTAGTATTTGGGGAGCCAAATTAAAGCTCTTAGTTTTCCACATAACTCCCTCCCCAACACAACTGTTTTAGAATGATTTTTTATTCTTAACTCTCAGTTGTACTGGTGGTACAGTCTAGATCCTCTCAGGTTCACCTTGTGAACTCTAATTCCTCCACTAAGTATGACAAGATCTAGAAACTAAGCCAATCCTCCAGTTTGCCAGGAACAGGCTGCTTATTGTCTGGGGACTTAGGGGTACTTTTACCACTGAACTACCTCCCTAGCCTTTATTTATTTTGAGACATGGTCTTACTAAGTTGCACAGGCTGTCCTCAAACTTTTGATCTTCAAGCCTGAGCCTACCCAAGTTGCTGGGATTACAGGTGTGTGGCCACCACGACAGGCACCAAATACTATATTTCTAATGCACAGAAAATTATCTCATTCTTTTCCGTAGTGCTAGGGATTGAACCCAGAGCCTTGAACATTTACTGAGTTACACGTCCAGCTCTTTCTTTTTTCTGGTTGTTCCCTCCAGCTAACCAAAATGGAATATTGAGATGGCAAGGCTACCATCACTTTTCTCAACTGAATTCCCTACATAGCTGCCAAATAGTGTGACTCCATCTCTTCCTTAGCCTTCTTAAATTCCCTATATATAATGACGTTTTAATACAAATCTGACCAGTGCCACAGGGACCAACTAGCCCTCCATAATAACAGACCCAACTCTCAACCACTTTACACACTTGCTATGTTGATTTGGACCTTCTACATGGAAAATGTTACCTTTCCTTTATTTAGCCATCAGGTTGTAGCTTAAGCATCTCTTTCTTCAAAGGATTTGTTCCTGACTCCTGCTACGTGTTCCAATAAACACTGCACTTCCCATATTGTAGCATGTTTCTCAGTATTATCCGTTCATCATCTCCTCGTGTAGTAGCTAGTGTGAAGGGAGAAATCGCGTTCGTCTACCTCGATATTGTATCCTCGTCTTCTGCGTACGCAGGGAACTCTAATGTTGTTTTGAATAATGAATGAGTTCGAACGACACAGTTCTGTTAGTAATATTGTATGTATCCTAGCCAGGTTCGTTCCCTTTCTCCCTCATTTTCTTTTTGTCAGTTCATTCTATTTTCCGCGCCTTACCGTCCTATTAACTGTCTGAGCCCATCTCCCTTTCCAGTACTCAGGCCCTACTTTTTACCTTTGAAAAAAGGACGTCTCCCCTCCTCCCTACCGCAAGCCCTTGATATGAACGACATCCTACCTTTTAGGACAAATGAGAAAAAGTTTAAAAAAAAAAGAGCGAGAGAGAGAATCCATTTCTTTATCCTTTTCCTTAAAAAAGATAGCTAGATAAATCACTAAGACTGCCACAAGACATACAGGAACCGTGCAGCTGGTTGCCTCCACAAACTTCCTCAGACCCAACGGACACTTCCTTCTTCCCCCGGAAACGGAAAGATGAAAGGAAAGCCCCGGAACATTGTGCTTAGGGATTCGTTTTCCTCAGATTTCCTGATGGGCAAGGCCTACCGGTAGGCGCCGACTGGTTAACATACCCGTCGTTCTTGGAGAACTCCGCTTCCTATTGGTCTGGCAGGGCACCGCCCCCTAAGCAGGGCGGGAGATTCGGTGTGCAGCGCACAGGTCTCCCATCCCCCAGACGGCCTCCGGGGGTCTTTGCATTTACCTGCACTTGCGCGGTTTAAGAGAAGTTGGCTTCTCGTGCAGTGGGTAGTCTCCTTATCTGCGGCAACGATTCAACAGAATTCTGTGCGTCAGTCGTGAAGTGGCGGGAGCCGCTCCTATTTGAGACCAAGCGGGGCTTTGGGCTTCGGAGTAGCCTGCCTCTCTTTTCTGCTTAGCTTGGAGCTTGTGAGGTAAGTTCAGGTGCTTCCAGTCCCGCGGCCAAGCTGAGGCGTCCGCGTCCTGGGTGGCAGTAGCTGGTCTCAGGGGATTCCCCTCAGCACTCGGAGATGGATCGTTGCACCTCCCTCTTTACCGTCCTAGGGCACTGGAACCAGGGGCTGATGGAGCGCAGCCAACTGATCAGTGCTGGGAGGTTCAGACCCACTGGGGTGAGAGGTTCGCACTGGGAAGACTATTAGTCTTCTCCCGTTTCACGGAGCCCTCTGGTTGGGTAAAAAACTGTAAAGATCTGTAACGAAAGTAGTAAAGTGCCCCGTGAGATAAGCCAGTTCGAGAAGAAATGTATCGTGTTCCCAAACTACCACTGTAGGGAGAACTTTCGATGTTATCCCTGCTTGGATAACCAAATACTAATTGAACAGTCACCTTGTGACAGTACTGGGTTGTAAAATGTTGATAAACTAGGATATTTTGGTAGAGCTTTTTAAATTAAAATTATGTTGAAACATTATTTTTCATTTTACTGTTGAAATAATAATAGAACCATTATACCTTCCCCTAGTTAAATTGCAATCTGGAAAAAAATATTACCTTTATTATATTGTGCAGTGGTTCTGAACACCAAATGCGTATCATTCGTCACTTATTGATCACTTTCTGTGGAATGAAATATAGAGACGTGCAAAAGACCTGCATGCTTAAGTTGAAGCTTAAAATAAAAATACTGATAATAGGGAAAGTTTAATGAACACTTTACTAGGCATGTGATCTCATGATAGAGCCATAGTGTGGAGGTGAGATTAGAACCCGAATTTATAGGATATTAATTTATTAATTGTTGCTTAATTGCTAATCTAAACCACATTTTCTGTAAAAGGATTACATTTTTTAAAAATTGTAACAAGTCCTTTATTTGCTCCCATAGGAGAGTATATTGCTGTTACCACTTGTGCTACTGTATAATTGACCTATAATTGACCTATATGTACCAAGCAGTGCCTTGAAGGGTCCTAGATGGCCTCCAAGCATATTTACATTTTATTGTGTGATTATTAGGTAGTGGTTTTTTCAGGAACTGTTAGAAAGAGCTCTAGAAATTTCAGTTGTGGTGATTTTGTACTACATAAAATGGCTTAAATCTAGATTAGGCAATTATAAATGCATTTGGCTGTGAACAATACTGAGGCTTTCTCTGTTGAGTAATTTTTTATTTACATACCATAGGAAAATTGCCTAGGGCATTACTAAATTGCTTAGCATATTTGTTTATATATATATTTTTTTTTTTTTTTAAATTCACCTCCCCCCCCCTTTCTCTCTTTGGAGATGGCCCACCTTCTTCCTTAAATGTGTATTCCTTCCTTTACCTCCAAAGCTTTGTACTTTTGAGATAGCTCATGTTCTCCCTTGAATGTACCTTTGCTAAATAAACCTTTGTCTTAAAAAGAAAAAAAGAAAACCCACGCCCACTAAAGAACTACTAAGTTTTTGCTAATAAAGAATTATGTAACAGACCTTACTGTTTATTTTTTCTTGGATTGCCATGAAAGGCAGAGCTAAAAGTTCTTTGCATGATTTTATTTTTGCTTTTGTTTTTGTATTTTCCCTAATCAGACTCATTTGCTTTATTGTATTTGCTCATTGTCACTGATTAAAATCCTTTGTAGAACACTGTAGTTTGAATTAAAAATGTAGATTATGCTTTGGAGGACTGAGTGGTAGAACTACTATTGTTTAACCTGATGATCTGGAAACTTAGAAAAACAATAGAAGTTTTTGCATATTAGAAGCACTAAAGTGGTAAAATGATTAGATGTATTATGGATAGTTTCTGGAGGTCAAATAAGGAATAAGGGTAACAGACTTTCATTCAATGGCAGTAGAAGTATGTGGTATAATAGGATAATCAGAAATTTAGGAATTGGTTAGACATGAGTTTCATTCCTGAAATATTTTTGTACTGTGTGAATTTGGTTGAAAATTTAATACTTACCTCAGTTTACTTATCTACGAATGGTGAAATTATACACATACAATCTATACCTGAAAGAATGCAGATTTAATGAATTGGTGTATGTAAAAGTGCCTAATACAATACCTGACATACAACTCCTCAAAAAAACCTGTTTATCTTACACAAATATCATGTAAATACATTAAGCTTTTTTCTCTAATTCCCCCATATTCCCCAGAATAGGAAGCAGTATCATTACTAGAAAAAATTGTCCAGGAGGATATGTCTTACTAGCAGTGGTTATTATATGAATTATGGATGAAATATTTATGATCTTTACTATTACTCCATAGAGTTATGAAGATAAAATGAGAATGCATGTAAAGCATGCAGAACTATGTCTAGAAAGAATAAATGCTTAAATTTTTTTCCTCACCTTTCCAACCCAAATGCACTCAAGTCTCTAGAGTTCTTTAGCTAAAATAGTAATAGTCATTTTGACATTTATCTGCCATCAAAAGAACTTTGAAGAACATTATCTATTTACTTGTTTTTCTTATAACTCAAGGATTTCTGTGTTTTGCCCCATTGCTTTTGTTTTCTTGTTACCTGACCCTGAGTGAGTTCTTTTTCTAATTACAGGTGACTCTGTCTGCATTTTTCAGCTGCAGAACATGTAGTAGCTTAAAAGGTAAATGACACTGACATAAGACATTTAAGTGTGACACTTGCCAAAAGTAAGCTTAGGAACATTTAGGTGTCTGCATGCAACTAACTAGGTCATGAAAGAGAGTCAGTAGTTACTTTTTCAGAAGAAAAGGAAAAATAGGATTTTTAAGAAAGTGGAAAGGAAAAATATTCAAGTTTTGAAACTAAATTTTGTCAGAATAGCCAGAGCTGATAAAGCTTTTGCTTGCCACACTGAAGTTTGTTCAGTGAATACTGACTATAAGTTGCTAAAGAGGTTTATATTTACTGCTTAGTTTGCAAGATGCCTAGAGAACCATAGTTGGGATCATAACCTGCTTGGATAGCATGTAGTAAAAGTAAAGAGAAGGATGGGCTGAGGCTCAGTGGTAGAGCACTTACCTAGCATGTATGAGACCCTGGGTGTGATCCCCAATACTGGGGGCAGGGTTGGGGGGATGGTAAAGGGAGGTACTTAAAGGTTCTTTGACTAAGAATTGGTGTACCAATGAAGTATCAGATTTCCCCCAGTGGACTCCACCTTTCTAGTGAACAGATAGTAAAATCCACTCTTTTTTTCTAAAATCTTGTGTGTTAATTGCCTCATTTCTGTTAATATGATTGTTATATAGATAGGTTAGGTCTTTTCTTTACAAGCAGAATATTTTCCTTATATATTAGTTATATAATTATATATTAGTTATATATTAGTTACCCTTGTTAGTTATATATATATTGGTTATATATTAGTTACCCTTGTTAGATTTTTGGTTCTTCTCAAATTGCAGGCATCTTTCCTCCTTTTCCACTATTTTTCAGATAAAGAATTCAGTTACCTACAATCACAAACATAATGATAGAAAATAATGCATAAAATATCTTGTCTTTTTTCTACTTTTGAGAAGAGGTCTTGCTGTGTTGTCTAGGTTGGTCTGGAACTCATTGTATCAAGTGATCCTCCTGCCTTGACCTCTTAAAGAGGTGGGATTATAGGGGTGGCAGGGCTGACTCCTTACTTTAGAAGAGTTTAAAAATGTTATACATGTGTTCATTACATGAATTTTTTTTTAATTGACATTGAACCCAGGGGTGCTTTACCACTGAACTATGTTCCCCTTTTTAAAAAATGTATTTTGAAATAGGGTCTCGCTAAGTTGCTTAGGGCCTTCCTTAGTTGCCAAGACTGGCCTTGAACTTGTATTCCTCCTGCCTCATCCTCCTGACACTGGGATTATAGGTAATAATGCCTGGCTATGAATGTATAATTTATATGGCAGATGGCATGAATTTTTGGTCATATTGATTTATTGCTTTTGTTTAGGTTGGCCATGATGAATAAACTGGAATTAAAGGAAGACAAGATGCTGGAGGTTCAATTTGTGGGAGATGATGATGTTCTTAATCACATTCTTGATAGGGAAGGAGGTACAGAATTATTATACAGTTGAAGAGATGCTTATGGATTATTTTATTTTAAAACTACTTTAACATTTTATAACATGAAGCATTTAATCTAGTAAGACTAATTAAAAATTGTTTTGATTTTTAGTTTATTTCTTTCAGACTTCTAATTGAAATTTTAAATAAATAAATAAGGCCATGTCTAAAATGAGATGCTCAGTGGTAGTAAATAATAACTACCCTTTGTAATTTAAAAGATGAGATTATTTTGACCCCTCAAACACTTTCAAGGTTTTTTTTTTTTTTTTTTCAATTCAGTTTTATAAATTCTGGAAGAATGACGTTTTTTTCCCCAGCTTTTAAGTAATGATTATTTGAGTAGTACAGTTTATTTACTTATTTAAATGTAATATTTAGAAAGAATTTATACCTGTCATGTTCAAATTCTTTGTATATTTATATAGGTACTAAATTAAAGAAGGAGAGAGCTCAGCTTTTAGTCAACCCCCAAAAAATAATAAAGAAGCCAGAATATGAGTTGGAGGAAAATGATGAAGAAGTCTTAAAGGATCAGAACTATGTGGAAGTTTTGGGAAGAAATGTTCAAGGTATTTGCTTAAGGGGAGAGGTATTTGTTTGGGGAGATACACACTCATATTTTTGCTCGCAGCAGAAATTGCTTTGCAGGATACACAGAAGTAATCTAGCAAGTTAAACAGTGGTTTACAATTATATCTCTTGAAAAGTATATCCTTAAGAGTTTTTTCTCTGCAATTCCATTTTTTTTAATAACCAGCCTTATATTTATTTTTAGAAAAAAGCAATTAATAGACCAACCATTCTAAAGTTATTCTTAAGATATTTATTTTGTGACCCCAGCCCATGCATTTTTAACTTATTAAAAGTATTTTATAAAGCAAGTCACTTTGTTGTTACCTTGATTTCCTTTACAGAAATAATCAGAAAGAACATTCTAAGAACTAGTGTTATTCCAACTTAGACATGTTTATATTGTGGTTCTTTTAACACCTAAATTAAATTCCTGTCAGATCATACTTAAATTAGACTTATATTATAATTTAGTTAGGGTTCTTCCGGGCACAAGGAACACAGATCCACACAAGCTGACTTAAAAAATAAACATAAGGGGGCTGGGGCTGTAGCTCATTGGCAGAGCACTTGCTTGTCATGTGTGTGGCACTGGGTTTGATCTGTAGCACCACATATTAACAAACAAAGGCATGCTGTTCATCTACAACTACAAAAAAATTTAAAAAAATAAACATAAGGAAAGAAATCAATATCATTGGTCATGATGCATTAGCTCGACGATATTAAAAATGGAGGAACTTTGCTCTCATAGGTCTCCTATTTTCCCTTGGGTTATCTCTATGCTTCTATCTATGCCAACTACTTCCTTCATGCATGTATTTTTCACTATTTCACATAAATTGCCATCATGACTACCTTTTACCTTTCTCTCACTTAAGTCTGTTGTGCTCCTGTTTAGTTTCCAGTGTTAAATGACTGTTTGTGTGTTTTAGTTCCCCCATTCTATATTCTTAAGAGTGGATTTAGTTCAACTCAAAGAGCCACTGCCCTTCATTAGGCTTAGTGGGTAGGGTAGAATCTCCTATTTGTTCCTAATTTGAAAATCAGTATTTTGTGGGGGGCATATTCTGATGAGAACTTTGGATTCTCAATTACTTATTATGTTAAAATAAGAAAAGATTGAAAACAGTATTCCAAAAGAGAAACTTGGTTTTTTTGTTTGTTTGTTTGTTTTTGGTGTTGGGGATTGAGTCCAGGACCTCACACATACTACATGCTTGATTCCTGAACTGCTGCACCCCCATCCCTTTGAATTCTTTTTTTTTTTTTTTTTTAGTTGTAGTTGGACACAATACCTTTATTTATTTTTATGTGGTGCTAAGTATTGAATCCAGGGCCTCACACATGCTAAGTGAGCACTCTACTGCTCAGCCACAACCCCAGCCCCAACCCTCTGAATTCTTAAAAATAATTTCTTATTATAATGGTAGTTGAAGAAACAACTCTTTCAACTCTCTCCACATAATAATGGCATCAGGCAGGGTGCAGTAGTGCATACACAGCTATAATACCAGCAGCTTGGGAGGCTGAGGCAGGAGGATTGCAGGTTCGAAGCCAGCGTCAGCAATTTAGTACAACCCTGTCTCTAAATAAACAATTTAAAGTGCTGGGGTGGTGGCTCAGTGGTTAAGCATCCTTAGATTCAATTCCTGGTACCAAAAATAAAAATAAATAACAGCATCAAAAAGTGGTATTTAGAGGCATACTAGAGTAAATGGATGAGGATGTTCCAGACCAGAAGTTGCCTCTGGGCCCTAATCTACCCTTCACTGCCAGCCCTGACTGGCATTCTCAAAAGGCTGAGAGGATTAATACCCTGCATATACATAAACAATATCTTTTATTGCTGTATACTTGTTGGGAAGGCTTGCCTTAATTTTTGTCATCCCTCATATTTTATTTTTCTCCTAATCATTTCGATCCATGGAACTTTAAAACGATTTATACGCTATTTATCTGCTTATATACTGTGACTCTTTGGAGGGCCACAGACCACTTTAATAACAAAGATTTTTTTCCCTCTACTCCTCCCTCAGTAAAAACTAATTTTAACCCTATTGGGAAAGGAAGTGTCATTGTCCCTGTTGAGAATGGGTTCTTTAGAGAACATGGAACTGTTAACTGTTTTGATGTGTATTTTCTGTCTATACATCCTTGGGCACACATAAACTTGGATTTTTTTTAATAAAATAGTTTATAACCTAACATGCTTTTTACAATTAGTAGTGTATCATAGACACATGATTCTGTCATTAGACATTCTTTTTTACACTTTTTTATTGACTGCAGAATCTGATCTACTATATGGATATGAAATAATTTAACAGTCACCTTTTGTTGGTTATATGGTTATTTTGAATTTTTTACTACATTGCTATACTGAATCTTTAGGTACATTCATTATTATTATTTCCTTAGTGAACTTGCTAGCAAGGATTTTGCTCCACATACCCATTGGGCATGAACAGTTTTGTTCTGACATATATTGCCACGTATTCATTCTCCTGAAATTTATGTAAGTTACACTCATTGATCATAGTATGTTTTCCTAAAGATATGGTTTTAGCCCGTTTTGGTTTTTTGTGGGGAGGAATGAAGATGCTTATTGTTCGAAAAATTTTTTTTCCTTAAATAGTGAATCCTATGTGGCATGGAAGAGACAAAACAATGAAGTACCTTCAATTCTACTTTCTACCGTTCAAGTAACTGTCACAGGAGTTTGTATTGGAGATGCACTGAAAGCTATGAGAATCTTAGTGTGGGTTCTCTTAGCTTTCTTTAACCTGAAGAGTACTGGCCAGTTGTACAGACAAATACTCTTATCATAGGTTCTGTGTTGTTTTTTGGTTTATATAAAATAACACTTCAGATCAGTTACCTGTCACGTATCATAATCTCAAACTCTGTTGCTAGAGTCCTTTATTGTCTTTTAATACTTTCACTGAATTGTAGTTTATTATGATATTTTATTACTTCATTTGAGAGAACCTACAATAATAGAGTTCTATGAAAAGAGTTATTGTTTGATATATTCCTGTTTAAAGACCTCCTCAGATTAGATATTTTTCTGTTTCCTGGATAAGATTGTACTTTTTGGTTCTCTTGATTGTAGTAAAACAAATTTCAGCAGACCTAGAACCAGATCTCTAAAGAGTTTTTCTTTATTCCCTGTGAAATACAGTAGCAAGTACATTCTGGTATTAACTGTAGTGCTACAAACTCTCCAATGTAACAGTCTTGAGTCCAGCAAATGAAGCTTTTGTTTGGCTGTGGGCATGCACAACAGAATAGTTCAGTCTTACCAATATAACTGATATTTTTGTTTGTTTCTAGTTGCTTGCAATCATAGGGGTAGAGAATGCTGTTCTAAATTGTAGCGAGTTTTCTATGTTTTCTACAGGGAAGAGGTAATTACACCTATCATCTTTTACCTCATTTGAGATACTAAATAATATGATTCTACATAATATTTTATTATATTCAGAAGAAAAGCATTTTTAGAAGACAGGAATACTTGACACAGAAACTTTAGAAAGAGTTAAAAACAAAAAAACTTTTCAGCAGGGACCTTCACTATGGTTTAAATGTGGTTTGTCCCCCCAAGAGTTCATGTATTAGAAGTATCATCCCCAATGTGGCAATGCTGAGAAATTATAGGCTCTTCGAGAGGTAGGGCCTAGTGCAAATTACTTTCATCAAGGGTTGCTGCCCCAGAAGGGATGTAGTTCTTGTGAGAACCTGAATTAGTTCTTGTAAGAGCCATTTATAAACAAGTGAGCCTGTTTCTTGAGTTGCTCTCAGGCTTCCTATCTTGCCATGTAATTTCTACTTCTCACCTGGGCTTCCACTATGATACCATCTACCATGTGACAGAGCCAAGAGAATGTTCATCAGAGCTGAGTCCTTGCTGGGGCCATGTCCTTCAACCTCCAGAACTGTGACATTTTTTATTTAGAAAGTCCCAGCCTTAGGGTATTTTGTAATAATAATAGAAAACTGATTAAGACAACCTTTAAACACATTATTAATTATTTCCCCTGAAGTATGACCCTCTTATAATTAATACATATCTTGACATACTTGACTTAATTCTCAGAGTTTACTAATTTATCCAGTCTGGAGAAAAATTATATTTGTGAATAGCATTTTTTTGTGTTAAAATTTATATAAGTAGGATTAGTCTGCTTAATGTATTTTTTAATATTATATTTGTAAATACATATTGTTACATTGTTTTACAATGCAGTAAGGGGTATGAATCTTTAAGATTTTAGTTAAAGTGTTCTCTTTTTTTCTTATAAATTAATTTTGTTCCTTTTTCCTAAATGCATGTTGTACTTTCTCTTTCAGAATCCTTGAAAAATGGCTCTGCTACAGATGTTAGAAATAAAGTTTATGCTTTTCAGAGTAGAAAACATTCTGAAAAGATGGCTAAGTTAGGTATGTTGCTTTTCTGATTTCTACAATCATTTGTCTTTTCTAGGCTATATTTAAGGACATTTCCTTTGGTTATTATCCAATTACATTCCCTAAAAGATACCAAAGCTTGGGGCTGGGGTTGTGGTTCAGAGGTAGAGCTCACCTACCATGCATGGGGTACTGGGTTTGATCCTTAGCACCACATAACAATAAAATGAAGATGTTGTGTCCACCTATAACTAAAACATAAATATTAAAAAAAAAAAAAAGATAACAAAACTTTTCCTAAGATTTAGAGAATGAGGCATTTCCTAAAAGAATAATGTCATGTTATATTAAGCACGCTTAAGTTAGTTTTTTTCATGTTCAGATGTCTTCTATTCTGAGCTGAAACCCAGTCTTAATTATTTTCTTTTGTTCTTTGTACCACAATAGGTAGACTAGGTGTTTTCTTTCTTTCTCCCTGCCTCCAACAATAATAATGAAGTTTATTTTAAAAATACATATACATTAAAAGCTTAGAAAAAGTTAGTGAATGCTTTGGGTAATGGTGGGTTGCCCCAAAAAATCACTAGAATGTTCCCCAGAATTCTTAATTCTTCCATTTTTTAAAAAATATTTTTTTAAAGTTGTAGATGGATACAACATCTTTATTTTGTTTATTTAGTTTTCTTTGTGATGCTGAGGATTGAACCCAGTGCCTCATGCATACTAGGCAAGCACTCTATCACTGAGCCACAACCCCAGCCCTACTTCCATTTTTATTACTTGATCATACTATAAAATTTAAGGATCGTCAGAATTTTATGACTTCTGAGAAACAAGATGGCAGCTGTGCAGTGTCAGAAATGTTTAGCTAAATAAATTGACCAGTCCACAAATATATTCTGAGCCCTTAAATTATCTGCAATGAAGGGGGTACAGAGAACAGATATATTTGTTTCCTTATGTTGGTGACAACCTAGTTTGGGATACAAGATATGTATGCACATGAGGGAGGTCATGATTAATGATATTCCATAGTATATAAGTGGTGAATGTGTAGAATGCACAATGTATAGAGAAGTGGGAAAATCAAGAGCCCTCAAATATAATCCTACAATTCCCCAAAAAGCTACTTGACATTGAACAAGTCATTTAACTCTTGGGTTGGCAGTGTTCTCATATGTAAAAGAAAGAGTTGCATTTCAACTCTAGTTTCTCATAAGAACCATCTTGGGATATTTTTAAAATCTCAAATCCTTTTCCCAGATATTCTTTTTAATTGTTCAGCAGTGGGTCCTGGTTATTTTTTAATAGTGTATTATAGTTATACATAATATTGGGGTTCATTTTGAAATATTTATACATGTATCTTAGGTGCTTAATAAATAATTAGGAAATGATGAGTGACTCAAATCACACAGGGTTGGATGTGGAAGTGCATGCTTGTAATCCCAGGTATTTGGGAGTCTGAGACAGGAGGGTCACAAATTCAGGAACAGCCTGGGCAACTTAGCAAGAATCTATCTCAAAATTTAAAAAAAAAGGGGTTGGGGGGCTGGGTACAATGGTGCACGCCTGTAATCCCAGCAGCTTGGAAGGCTGAGACAGGAGGATCGTGAGTTCAGAGCCAGCCTCAGCAAACTGAGGTGCTAAGAAACTCAGTGAGACCCTGTCTCTAAATAAAATACAGAGTAGGGCTGGGGATGTGCTCAGTTGTTGAGTGCCCCAGGGTCAATCTCCAGTACCAAAAAAGTAAAAAGGACTAGGATGTAGCTCAGTTCTGAATCACATGCCTACCCTGTGCAAGGACCTAGATTTCATCCCCAGTGCATATATACACAAAGAGATTTTCTAAATTTTTTATTAAGACTTTGATACTGTACTTAGAAAATTTTATTTGTTTTATAGAAAAATATTTACATAAAATTGTTAGGAATGGTCTCTTCTAACATTTTTCTTAAAACAAGTTACCACCCATATGAGTTTATATGAATTGCTGATTTTCAGAGAACTGGACTATAATAAATTACATGTAACATTACCATTAAACTGTCACTTATTTTAAAACATTCTGGTACTGTATTTAGATCTTTTGAGAGGTCGTCATTTTTGAAAGCTTTAAGGCAAGGAAACAATATATATGAAAGCACTTTGAAAATTAAGATTTATCAGTATATAAAGGCATAGGAATACCAAAATTAAGGGAATAATAATTACCCATTTGGTAAAATATAATAGTCATATTAAGAGCACTTATGATTTATAATTATAAACTTATGTATATTTCCTTTTTTAATGTTTATTTATGTATTTATTTATTTATTTTCGGCGGACACACATCTTTTGTTTGTACGTGGTGCTGAGGATTGAACTCAGGCCGCACGTGTGCCAGGCAAGCGCACTACCGCTTGAGCCACATCCCCAGCCCCATTGTTTTTGTTTTTTGTTTTTTTGGTATTGGGGATTGAAACCATGAGTGCTTTACTACTGAGCTGCACTCCCAGTCTTGTTTTGTTTTGTTTTGTTGTTGTTGTTGTTGTTGTTGTTTTTTTAATTTTTTATTTTTTTTATTGGTAGTTCACAACATTACAAAGCTCTTGACATATCATATTTCATACATTAGATTGAAGTGGGTTATGAACTCCCAATTTTACCCCAAATGCAGATTGCAGAATCACGTCGGTTACACATCTACAATTTTACATAATGCCCAATTAGTAATTGTTGTATTCTGCTACCTTTCCTATCCCCTACTCTCCCCCCTCCCCTCTCCTCCCATCTTCTCTCTCTACCCCATCTACTGTAATTCATTACTCTCCTTGTTTATTTTACCATTCCCCTCACAACCTCTTATATGTAATTTTGTATAGCAATGAGGGTCTCCATTTCCATGCAGTTTCCCTTTTCTCTCCCTTTCCCTCCCATCTCATGACTCTGTTAAATGTTAGTCTTTTCTTCCTGCTCTTCCTCCTTGCTCTGTTCATAGTTGCTCTCATTATATCAGAGAAGACATTTGGTATTTGTTTTTTAGGGATTGACTAGCTTCACTAAGCATAATCTGCTCTAGTGCCATCCATTTCCCTGCAAATTCTAAGATTTTGTCATTTTTTATTGCTGCATAGTACTCCATTGTTTGTTTTGTTTTTTGAGACAGGATCTCACTAAGTAACTGAGGTTGGCCTCAAACTTGTGATCCCCCTGCCTCAACTTCCCAAGTTGCAGGGATTGCAGATGTGTGCCCCCATGCCTAGCACCTCTGTATAATTTTAAGTGATGTCTTTTTATTCAATCACTGCAGCCAGTGACCCATGTCAACATTCAAGGTAAAGTAAAAATTACACTTGTTAAGTGCTGACATGGATTAGAGAATTATAGGAAGAAATCATAAAACCTGCGCTTCTGAACATAATTTGATCATTTACCAGTTTGTTTACTTTTTCTCAAAAATGTGATGAATATATTACTAATTTTGAACATAACATAGTTCATAAAATAATTTACCTTAACTGATGTGTTTTTTATTGTTTATTGTCTGTATCAAGAAATTAAACGTTTTTAGATGCACAGATAAATCTAAGTTATTTGCATGTTGGTTATCCACTCAGATAACTTCTACTCTTTTACTTAAGCTTAGTTAGGACCTATAGTTGTGATATTGTTTAAAGAATTTCTTTGACTCAGTAAGTATTGTTGCTTATATACTAAATATAACAATAGAATAGAATGTATTAGTATTTTATGGATAATATAATCTGTCATTTACTACTGAATATAAATGATGATTTCATTTAATTGGGCTAACTTAAATATAAGGCTTATAAACTAAGAGTTAGGAAGGTTTTGTAAAAACTGTGTCTAGTGTGAGAAAATAAATGTAAACAAAAGAGCAAAGACAAGTAGAGAGGTTAGGAGTTCAGCCAGTTTGAAGAAAGAGATAACTTCTAGGAAATCAAAAATAGAATCAGTGTGTTGGAAAGATAATGTGCACTCCCATGTTCATTGAATATTATTCGCAATAGCCAAGATATGGAATCAACCGAAGTCTCTAAGTATGGCTTATATACACGGTGGAATATTCAGCCTTTAAAAGAAAGAAAAGGCCTTATAAGTACCTTTAGTTATGCATTTTCTTTCATTTTGAATAAGGAGAACCACAAATTATGTGATTGACTTGGCTTGTCATAATTTTCTTTGAAAAACAAAATAAATAGATTATGTATCTCCCCTGGTCAAGTACCTTGTATAGCTACCCTTTACAGGATAAAATGCAAAAATCCTTAGATTGAGCTTTGCTTTACTTTTCCAAACATCATTATACTATTTTAAGAAATATATACTGCATTTTTCTACTTATATTTATTCTGGAGTACATTTTTTTTCTTATTTCTAGCTACTAAGATTATAACTATACATCAAAATTATTTTAAGTGTTCCACAAATATGTAAGCTAAAAATAAATAATATCTTCTCCCCCTCAAAAAAAGATGTTTAAGTAGGACCCTATAGTAGACTGATGAGAGGCTAGCCGGAAGAGTATTCATTTATTTACTTTACTTTACTTGTAGTGCTGGGGATGAAACCCAGGGCCTAGCACTTCATAGGTAAATGCTCTACCACTGATCTATAACTCAAACCCTAGCACTTTTATTTTAAAATTTTCAATATGTTATAGACCAGTTTATTGTGTAAAATATGATAGAAAAATGAAAATTAAAAGACACAGCAAATATATGCCCTAATTTTTATTTTAATTACCACACAATTAACATTTCATTTAATATGATCAGAACAAGGATAAAATAGGAACAAGAAAAGAATTATATAAACTGTATACAATTATTGAAAGGTGATGATTTTTCATGATTAATATAGAGGAGAGATCAATAGACTTTTTCTGTAAAGGGCTAGAATATAAATATTTTTATCTTTTGTGGGTGAGTATTCAACTTTGCTGTTATAATTCAAAAGCAACTATAGTGCAATATAATTAATGATGTAGCTATGTTCCAATAAAACTTAAAATAAATGGAAGAGTG